GTGAGGCCGCCGTGTAGGTCTCACCTTGGCCCCAGCCCCGCGCCTCCCGCCCTCCTTCCTCCCTCGCCCAGGGCGTCGGTGACGGACTCCAGCCGCTTTGGCAGAATAAACCGGTTTGTCTTCACTTCGCCCCTCGAGGCGCCCAGGAGCATTGCCAGTCCGAGCCTGACAAGTGTGTGCGGCTTTCTCTTTCCCCCCCGCGAGAGGTGAACCTCCTGCCGGGGCGGTGTAGAGCGTAATAAAAAGGGCAGGGCTTCCAGAATGGGGAAAGCGTGTTTTCGATTCAAATGAAGTAAGGAGTAACAGGAGTCGCCGCTCAGTCCAGGACGCTGGCCCTGGCCAAACGAGCGCTCTCCGGGGACCAACACCGTGGAAGGTACTGGTATGCCGCGAAAATGTTGACTTTGCACATTGTCACCGTTGCTGTAGAGATGTTCTTGGATCGCTGGGTTGTTTTAGTGGTGTTTTCTTTTCTTTTTATTAACTCCCCCTCTTTATTTTCAAGAGGGCAGAAAACATTCTCAGTGTACTTGGTAGATGAAAAAGTAACTAAGGAATATGCCATTGTACGTGATATGGGGACTGCTTGTAGGATTCGGGGGTGGAGGTGGAGAAGGGCATGCTGCAAGGGTGAGAGAAACCAAAAATGTTTTGCTTCTGTGGAATTGTCATCCAAGTGGTGAGGTGCCTCACGGTGACCCAGGGAAGAGGGTGGCTGAACATCCCCTGGCCTTCCAGAATGGAAAAAAGAAGATTGCTCTCAGAAGAGCCAAGTGTATTTTTGTGGCCAACTTAGCAGTTCCTTTTTCTTGTAATGTATAATTTTCCCTCTGGAGTTTTATTTATTCTTGGGCAGACACACTGACAGATATTTTACCCACTTCCACTACTTAGTGTACAAGTTTTTAGAAATTGATACGGACCCCTCCTCCCCCAAGTTCTTGTTTCTACCTGAATTTCCTCTTTTAGTTTAATATCTTGGGGAAAGACCTGCCCCTTAAGGCTTTTTTTTTTCCATTTCATTTCATTTTCCTTTCCTTTCACTGTCCAACGCCCCACCCCCATTTTTAAACTAGGGGAAAGAGGTGCCCACAAGGCCAGCATTCCACAGTTGTCTTCTTGGTAGTGTGCAGTGCAATAGAATTGAACCACTTATTTTTATTAGTTATTCCACACCTGTGAGTTTTAAAGTTTCACCTATGCCAGTGGAATCCGCAAGGTATAACTTGAAAGAATTTATTTTGGGTTGTAGCCAATAGTCTAATAGAAGACTGGTTCCTGTATGTAGGCAACATACTTGAATGAATGAATTTGTTTCAACTTTTTCCTAAAAATAAACTAGGGGTTTAAACTGCAGATATTTATCCAGCTTCTTTTGAGCCTTCCTAGGTATTGATCTCTCATGGGAAAAAAGCTTTTACATTTAAAATTTTTTAAATATGGATATCAGTTTTAAAAATGAAGGATGTGAGACTGATCAGTGGGTATAATAAAAGAATTCTGATAATGAAATTCAGTTTTATAATCCACTTAAATTCTATATGTTTAAGAAAATCAGGTCTTTATAGAGTGCAAGTGTGGATATTTAATCATACTGGGTTTAATATCTAGATTTACGTTCCTTTATTGGCCTATTTTGAGTGAAAAGGTTTCCATGTCTTTCTAGATTGTAACTTTTTCCTTTTGTGGTTTGCACTTCATATGGAATAATTCAAGATCCTTTTAAGATCTTTGTTCTGATCCTCTTTAGATATTGTCATGTTAAAATATTTGGAAATAATGCTGGTCTTTCCAAGGTAACTACTTCTGCTATCTTGTTGAAAATTTCTAACACAGGGAACTAAACTATAATATCTTTTTTAATTTTAATACATTCAAGTACAAAAACTATTTTGCCTGTTCCTTATGAAGAAAGAATATTCTTATGCTCAGGTCCTGAAATTCTAGACTTTATAAATATAAATATATTTAGGAGTTTCAGTGACTATGTGTTTCTCATGCCCTAAGAAATTTAATAGAATTAGCAAGACTTGCATTAACTGGTCTCAGCTGCATGAAGCCACTGTTCCCTTTACGGCTTATATAAATTACATGACATTGTGCTTTTCCGATGTGAATGGTGAATGAGACTATTGTCCGCTGGCTTATGGGAAATATTAGAAGCCTGTAGTTTTACTGCCTAATGTCACTCTCATTTCTGGAAATAACGATTTGAGAGAGATTCTACTTATATATCAAACATAAACTGAGAACCACTTCTTTAAACCTGACCATTTTTAGAACTGCCTGTATGTCTTAACGAGTTTACATTTCTGGTAGTCTAGAGACTGTTTAGAATTTAGGCTAAATAGAAGAAAACTGTTCAATGTGTGTGGTATACATGGCAAGAACGGTATCTTTCCATTTCATTTCTAATTTGGTGACATCATTACATTGTATAATAGGACATTAAGATGTGTACTGATTAGGATGACATTTAAGGACTCTGTCTTTCGCATCTGAAGGGCAGTAGAAGTTGAATATGACTACCTGAGTATAATCTTACTTTCCTTTGTAAGCATTGCTCAGAATTGAATTATTTGGAAGTCCTTAACAACTTCAAGGTTAACTTACTTAAAAGAGAACAAATATGACAAAAGCATAACATATTTAGTTTACAGTTGGCTAAAAAAAATCACAAATCGGAAAGAAAAATGTTTTGTGCAAATGACTTGAACATGCCAACCCAAATAAAGGAAATCCAAATAAGGTTCTACTTTTATCAAACTGATAATGATTAAAGCAGTATTATTTAACTGTGATGACAGTATCACTAAGTAAAAACACTGATACGTTACAGTATAAATTGTGTGTTTAATATTTTTAGAAATCCTTTTTAAACTTTCAAAAAGACTCAGAGCATAAAAAGAATACAAAAACACTTGTATATCCTCTACAGAATCACTTATGATAAATATGGACCCCATTTTTAAAATAATCATTCCCCTTTTCCTACACCCACCACCCACCCACCCACACAAGTATTTTTCTGAATCATCTGAGAGTAAGTGGCATAATCAGGGCTTCAGGGGTTGTTTTTAATTGAAAATTTTAAGATATTTGTATTTTCAAATATGGATTTTTTTTGGGGGGTACCAGGGATCGAACTCGGGTCCTTGTGTTTGCAAGGCAGGTGCTGGAACCACTGAGCTGTATCCCCCAGCCCCTGTATTTTCAAATATAGTTTTAAAACATGTAAAAGATGATACATACCCTTTATCATTTTCCCCACTGGAAACATTTTGTGAAACTGTAGTATAAAATAAAAACCAAAATGTTAATATCATCTATTTTTTCTTTTTCCAATTTCCTCAGATTTAGGTGTATCCATTTTTGTGTGCACATATACATAATTCCCAAGACTTTTTATCTCACTTGTGGTATAAACCAGTTGTGCATGTTTCTGTTCAAATAAGGTTTAAGATTTGTGAAATCTTAGTTTTAAGAATAAATCCACCTTTTAAAGTGGGGGCAAACCCAATTTAATCAAAGGACTTAAACTGACTGATGGAATTGAATTTTCTTTTTAAATACATCATTTAGGCTAAAGAACATGATTATTAACCAGAAGAAGAAATACTAGTATGAGCAGATTTAAATAAACAAGTTACTGTTCTTTTTTACTCTGGAAGAGTTAAGGTATTTTCTCAGCCACTCCTCAACTGCCTTCATGAAGAGAATGGCCAAAGCAACACAACTGGGATAAGGGCAAGAAAGCGAATTCTATTTCTGATATTACTGCAATTAGTACCATATCCCTTTCTCCACGCATTGCAAAATGTCTCCATCAGTTTCTCTTTAAATGTGACTTTGGGGAACTCCTAGGAGTAGAGAGATGGAAGATAGTAGGGTTTTGTTTTTTTTAGCTTATTTTAGTTATGAATTTGGATAAAATCATGCCTTCCAGGTCCCATATCCATGTTACAGCAATCCAGAAGGGTCACATTTTAAGGCTTCCTGAAACAGGACTCATTTAGTGGTAGCAGCTTGGTTCTCAAATAGTAGCTTGATTTTCAAAGAGGACAGCTCCATCGAAAGTGGCACAATGTGATCTTAGGCAAATTGTTTATCGTCTTAGTCTTCGCACCTGTGAGATGATGGGTTTTACGGCTTTCAGAGGCATTTTCAGATCATCCAAATCTATGATTTTTTTACTTAAAATATGTTCCTGCTCCCGTCAATAGAACTGTGAGACCACAGTCAAAGTGGTACAACGCTGTAGTGTTTTTTGTAATCCCTCCTTAGAACCTTAGTAACCCCGTTTGGGATTTTCCACTCTTGTGAGAAAGCTGTTTAAATCTCAGGGTTGTGTCTTTACTAAGTGATCCCCTGAGAAGATACACTCAGTGCTTTCCTTCCGCTGTTCTATTCTTAATTTATTTGTTTCTATTCTTCAGTAAACAGTAAAGTGGATGAAAGTTGGCATGTCATATGGTTTGTGTTTGGTTACAAGTGCTTACACTGCCCTGGGCTCCTTTTCTGTCTGAAATGATGGAGTCTAGAGCCCTAGAGTGCATCAAACCATCGTCATCATTTGCAGCTCTTGCCTGATAAGACAGCAGGCAGCTTGGGTAAACAACTTTAGGATTGGATATGGAGTCCCAAAATGTCAGCACCCTTTTTAGCAAAGAAGCTGCGTGAGCAAGGGGAAAGGAACAGTATCAAGTGCAGCCACGTAAAGAGAGGGATTACTTTTAGACATGTATGACCTTAAGAGCACATATTCATAAAGGAAATTATCATGTGCCTCAAAGAGAAATAAGCTAGGAGTTCCCTCCGGGCTGATGTTTGCTTCATTTAACATCTGTAAGACTGGAGGCCAGGTTTGATTTGTCTCCCCTTTTATTTTACTGGGCCTCAGATTCTTCCTCTGCTAGAATGAGGTTAAGCTTTGATTTGTCTCTATTTCTATATATCCCCACCCCACCTAATGTCATTTACTGATTTCAGTTACTTGTTCAGTAGTTGTTTAAAAATATCAATATCTATTGATACATGTAAAGGTTTTTGACTTTTTTTGGACTGTTAATGCTTCAGTACTTAATTTTAGTAAAAGAGCTTCAGGAATATATTTTTATTTAAGTATTCTCAGGTGTAAACATGATAACATTTCATTTCTTCAAGTCTATTTTCTAAGAAGTTTTATCAGAGATTGAACATCCTCCTGCTTATATATATATATATATATATATGGTTCTTTTGTCTTTGTACACTGCTCATTCATCTCCAGCATGAACGGAGAACACCTTATTCATCCAGCCTCAATAGGAAACAGGCCCTTACTTCCAAATAAGAGAATTTTTTATGTGACAGAGCCTACCCTTGCAAAAGCCCTTATAAAGTGCTATGAGTTGTTACCTCTTGTTGTATTTGTTGGATAATAAGCTGTCTACAAAAAAAGAAAGATTTAGTGTTTAAGTACCTGCACCTTAAACCTTACAGTTAATAGAGGAACCAGTATGTAAGTCTGTGCCATTCTAGAATCTACATCCATTGTTATTGTTATTTATTTATGCCTCTCATAATTAGTGCGTGCTTTTAGCTTCAAATATTTTGGATGAATGTATTAAAAGGCATACTTTCCATACAAAAAATACTCTCCTAATAATACTCTTTTGGTCCTAGTTTAGAATTTCCAACAGGAGAGCTTCTTGTTGCTGGAACTTTTAGCTTGGTGACTACAAAAGCATAACATCAGCTTCAGACACTACTTGGAATCTCTAATCATAGCTGACATGAGTAGCTTATTTCATTTTTGTTGTCAGGTACTCTCAGAAATGGCATAAAGCCAATTGATTGGTGTTGGCACATGAGATTAAGCCCATTGTGCATTCTTGCTTAAGTCTTTTCCTTTGACTTCACTGTGGACAGAGTAACCACACTCACACTAGAATGTCTGTGGTGATAGTAGCAATAATGACAGCTAATATTTACTGAACACTTGTGGAGTGGCAGGTACATTATCTCAGTGGATCATCTTCCTAACTCTACAGGCGAAGTTCATTGCAGTTCATTATTTTACACCTGAGCAGTAGGAAGCACAGTGTGATCAAGTCAGTTTCCTCAGGGTTGCTTAGTTCCTAAGTAACAAATCCAGGCCTGTCTGACACAACGCTTGTCCTCTTTTCTCTGAGGTAGTCTTATCACAGCGAGAGAAAGATTAAAAATGCAGTCTTGAGACAAGGGCAGGAATCACTTGTTATCTGCTTTACTCATTTGAGTATTTCTCTTCCTGCTCTTCTGGTTTAGCGTTCCACATGTATCCAAGTAAGCAAACTTTAGATTTTAAGAAAGGCAGTACTGTGATTAGTTACCCTTGGTGTTAGCGATGAAATGACTCAGAGTCACCCTTGTAGGCAAGCTATCGTTATGAGAGCTGGAAATTTCTCCCTGCTACCTCGCTATGTACTGCCTCAGTCTCTGGTGCTTGCTACTCATTTTTGGTCCCCTTAGGCTTCTGGCTTTTATATTTGCTGCTTCCTTCATGGGCTTGCTTCATTTGAGGTTGCTGGGACAGTTACATATATCACACAGTTTTGAGGCAAGAAAATATGGATGTTCTTTTCTAAATATTAAATATAACTTTTTTGTTTAAAGATGAGTTCATTGTGCATAGGATTATTTGAGAGTTTTTAAGGTATCCCCACCCCACCTAATGTTGTTTACTGGTTTCAGTTACTTGTTCAGTAGTTGTTTAATAACATCATTATCTATTGTTACATAGAAAGGTTTGGACATTTTTTGGAATGTTAATGCTTCAGTACTTCATTTTAGTGAAAGAGCTTCAGAAATATATTTTTATTTAAGAGTTCCCAGGTGTAAAGCGGCAAATGCTGTAACATGAGAACATTTCTTCAAGTCTACATTTCTAAGAAGTTTTATCGGAGAGTGATATAAACATCCTTCTGCTCCCCAGATCGGAGTGTTTCTTGTGAGGCTGAAGCTGAAGTTGCTTTATTTTTTAAATAAACCTTGTTTTTTGTTGAATTGCCTTGAGTATTAACCCATTACTCACGAAGAAACTGCCTAGGGAGTATATTCTGATAAGGAAGGGGCCACAGAGTAGCAAAGAGAATGCATGCTTTTGTTTTTCTCTTTGCATTTCCATCCTCAGCAGCAGTTGTAGCTGTCAGTGGAAGGGCACTTGTCTAGCCTGTAGCCTGCCCTAGCTAGGCTCCATCTCCAGTACTACAAGAGACAAAAGGCGGGCAAAGGTCTCTATTTTCCAGTCCCTCCTGGGAACATTACCCTTCTGCGTTGTTTGTCATCATGTTTTACTGAACACCGAGTGTGCTGAATTTGAATTTCTTTCCTTTCAGGACGCTTCATTCAGGTAGAATGTGGAGCTGCCATTGGAAATGGAAGCCAAGCACTCTTCTGTTCTTATTTGTTCTGTGTTTCATGTATGTTCCTCTCTCAGGTAAGAGTCTTTTTCTTTGATAACCCAAATTTAATAATGACTTCATTATCTTCAATGGGAGTGCTCTACTTATTTAAGTTAATTCCCCTACCCCTTACTATATTTGTCTGTCTTTGGTCTCTATGCTCTGAATTCTACATGAATACGGTCACTTTGATCATTATTTTACTTTCTAATGAGTTTATTTCTTTAATCTTTGCTGTCTTTCTTCTCAATTTACTTATGTATGTATGTATTTAGCCCATATTGAGTGCTGAGATAACTATATAACTGACATTGAAAAAGTACGAGCTGTTTCCTCTACTCTTGAATAAATAAATATACAGCACTTAGTTCTCTTTTCATGTTTTCCTATAATTATTATGGGAAATACAGACTTAGCTATTTTCATTCATTCTGATGTTATAACCATCTTAAAAAATCAAATAGGAATTTGAAATTATGCTTTTTGGGTTACAGTTTATTTAGTTTATCTGGTAGGGGAAATTTAACTTTTAATTACAGCATCTTTGATTAAAATATGTTTTTAAGTGGCATTTTTCTGATATTTGAAATAAGATCCTTTGGCTGGAGAAAAGTAAATTTTCTGTAAGCAGATAATTATATAAATAAGCTAGTGAGATGGAGGAATGGGCTTGATGTTTACAAGAGAACTGTTTCCTCATTTTTTTCTCTCACTGAGAAAATCGCATTTCTCCTATCTTGTCCTTCTTACTCTTTATTTTCTCCTGCCTTATTTCTTCAGTTTATTTTCTTTTACAATAAATCTGCAGTGTCAATTAAGAAAACTTATTCTTGAAGTCGTATGTACTTATCACATGGGATTTAATTAAGATTTATAAATTCCATATTTATAATTCGTCTGCTATTATAATTGAGGCACTTAAAGAATCATGGGAATAGATTATTTGCTGGAATTGCTTCCTCATAGATCAAGAAATTCAACTTGTGTTGATATGTAAGAGCTTTATTCCAAGCTACCAAGTGTTTTAAGAGTTTCAGATACTTACTTGTGAAATCAGACATTTATTTATTAAAAGTCTCAAAGCAAAATTGTATACATATATGTTAGAGTATCATTATAATGTAACTGTTTTGCTCCTAAGTCATTGCTAGAAAAAGAAAGATATTTGTAAAGACAACTGAAAGCTAAGGATAGAGGGAGTTTTATGATGCATAGCATTGAGCTTTTTAACTTTTAACTTTCAGAGTGGTCCTTCAAGAACCAGTCATATGGTGTAAGAAAAAACCATGAAATGGAAATGAGTCGAAGCCTATTTACTTTTTTGTTAGGTCAGGGCTTTGTAAATGTTCGATATTTCTTCAAACCTCAAATTGTATTTCAAGATGTCAGCATTTTAAGCGATAGATGTATTTCCCTGTGTTTTCAGTCCTTTGAATAACTGAAATGAATCATGATTTTAGGCATAAAAGAGGAATACCCCAGGCTGAGGTAAAAGAAGCCCCCCCCAAGGTATAGAATATATGAAAATGCTCATCTCACAGATGTGAAAATTAGAACTTAAATTTGCTAAATTACTGTCTTACCCAAGATTTTCTTTCATTGTCCAGTTTTTTTGTGTGTGCCATCTAATAAGGTTTTATGACAGTTTGCTGTGTTCACTGATGAAGCCAAGATGTTTTGCATCTGAAGTTCACTACCTATGACTCACTTAAAATGCTACTACCTCACACATGAATGAATGAACTCCCCAAACTATTTCAGAGGTTATTAGCATTTTAATATAAAATTCTTACTTCTTACAGTAACTCAGCAAATGAGTTCCTTCAAATCAACTCACAAACCACTTAAAATAATACCTACTGTAACTTTAGATATATTTATTTTTCGAAGTCTTGTCTCTTCCATGAATCAAAGTTTAATGTTATATATGAGAAGAGTCCATAGTGTGGAACTGTGATGTACTATCTCCTTATACTTACCCTGAGTTTCTTTACTTCTCTCAATGGCTCTTACTCTAAGCAGGGACTTTAAATGGCATCTTCATACTCATTTTCTCCAAATCTTTATCTTGGGTTTCATTTCCATTCTGGACCTTAGTGAATCACCTGTCCAGTTGCTGATCTTCACTAGCCTTAGATAGCTAGTAGGCCTCCACTTCACTTGTACAAACAGTACTCTTGGTTCCTTCCTCCTTGCTCCAAATTTCCTTCCTCAGTCTTTACAACCCATTGTACATCCTTCTGTCCACTCTTACCCTCACTGCTTTCTAGACGCATTGACCTTTTGATTCCTTAGCATGCCCTCTTGGTATCCTCTCTTCCCTAATCTAAGCATACCTTTCTCCCTAAGAACATGCCTGGTTATTTTTGGCACTCTGATCTCGCTTTAATTATTGCTATCTCAGATGTTCCCTCCTATTCTACAGTTCAAATGAGCCCCATTCATTCCATATCATATAACGCTTATGCTCTTAATTCTTAATTTAACTGTGACAGCTAGGTTGGAAAACCTTTTTTAATAAGATTGACACTTAGCTCAGAGGATTATAAGTTAAACTCATAATTTAATTCTGAAAGCATTCATAATTCATATAATAGAATTAAAATATTAAGTCTCCTACAGAGTAACTTAACATTGCACTATCATGGAATATTTGTAAAGCAAATAATTTACAAGGAACGTTTCTGCTTTTCAGGATTTTAGAAGCAATGTAGGAAATATAACTCATTGTCTATGACAAGGGATAAATGTAACTTTTAACAAGATATGCAAGGGCTGGACATGCAGTTCACTGCTAGAATACTTGCTTAGCATGCTTGAGGCCCTGGGTTTGATTTCCAGAACCACAAAACCACAATAAAAGGCCAGTGACGAAATAGATTTAATATTTAAATAGGCCCCAGAGAAATGCAAATTAAAACCAAAATGTTATTTTTTTTCCCACTAACTTGACAACATTTAGAAAAATTGTTATCATCCCATAATCAGTGGTTGGGAAGTGGACAGCACTACACTATTGGCTCTTCCTTGTGGGAGAATAATTGAGCAACGTGTTCTAGAAATTAAGAATGTGTACACTGTCTGGTATTTCCCTCCTATAGACATCATTTCAGTAAAAATAAAGAAATACTACATACAAAGAGAAACATGTCAGTATGTTAACTATAGCATTGTAAAAGCAAGTAACTATAAAAGATTGTTTATCAACAGAGAAATGGTTACTTCAACTATTTTACATTCGTACTATGAAATACTGTGCAGCCCTTTAAAACACTGTGGTAAAATATCCACATTGGTTTAAAAAGCTGTCAATGACAATAAATGTTAAATTAAAAAGCAAACTACAGAACCATGAAGACTATTCCAGAATTGTGATAGGCTGTATTTCAAATTTGGGACTTGTTATGTATATGGTATATGTTTGTATGAAACAGCATAAACATAATAAAACATGGATTGATACACACCAGGCTTTATAAATGGGTTATTTCAGAGGTACAGTTTAGAGTAACAGTGAAGAAGACTGTGGAACTTTGTACACCTCTAAACTTTTTGCCTTGGTGCAGTGAGTGTCTATTACTTTTGAAAAATTTAAAAAAATACCTGATGAATTTCTTTAGCTATTTAAAAGAGCACATTAGAACATGGCCAGAGAAGCCTGTTGAAGTATATTGGTCTATTAATTTTTCTGTGAATAACTTAGCTCTTACTCTGGCTCTTTCTTCACTTAGTAAGACTCTAAAAGGTGCTTCAAATAATGACTTCTTTTTATGTGACATGACACTCCACAACTCTGAAGATGAATGAGGACTTCTCAAGCAGGCAGAAGTTATGGCTTCAAGGAAAATGAGAAACAAACAGCCCAGAGCCAATGAATTCCTAAGCAACCAGGAGCCTGTTTCCACACAGATAGCCTTAGTCATGGGCTCTGAGGGAGGAGCCTCTTTTCTCTCTTGAAAATCAGTTATCTCAGCAGATTGTTTTGAGGCTCAGTGCTTTTCTAATATGTCTGAGACATCCACGGCTAGAAGGGGAAATGGATTTGAAAGTACAATGTACCCTCAGCAGGGTGCTTTTAGCCCAGAGTGTAGCATAAGTCTAGAAAGCAGGTGACTGGACTTTAAGAATCTTGTGGGGTTTTTGTTTGTTTTTCTGTTCATTTTTCCCTTGATCATAAACAGCAGTTATAACCTACTATTGATTACATTGCAGTCTGCATTCAAACACTAGATATTTGTACACATTTTTATATTTGATCAAAAGACTTCCAAATGTCCAGAAAAATTATCCTTTTAAACATCTTCAAAATTTTAAAGCCATCTTAGTATTAATGTGTACTTCAAATAAATAAATGTATCCGAAAGATCACAGTTAAGGCTTTGTGCAAAGTATTCTGCAGACAATGTAAACATGTGCCAATACAAAGTAAAATTTGAAAAAATACTTGCAGCACAGATGTACTGATAATATGAAAAGAATTAGGTTGTACATATTAAATGTTTGAATTGAAAAATAAATGTGTAGGCTAGGGATTTAGCTCAGTGGTTCCACCGCCTGCCTCGCAAGTCAAGGTCCTGAGTTCAGTCCCCAGTACCCGCCCCCAAAAATGAAATAAATAAATAAATAAATATATGCGTGTCTGCATGTATGTGTTTAAATCAGGGTCAAAATGCTCCAAGTTACTGTCTATAGCTTTTTCCGTTCCAGACTTCAGGATAAACAAATAAAGCCTAGACAGTTTTACATGGATGTTTTGGGGGGCTTTTTCTCAGTAATTTCCTTCATATACCATGGATGATCTGAATTTGATAAAGTTAAATATGAAGTCCTACTTGAGTAGTTATAAAGTCGATACTTTCAACGTAGGTAGGAGTGACTTCACGTTCACACCTCAGTGACTACTATGAACAGGTCATGACCCAGCGTGGTGGGGACACTAATGAGACGGACACCACTTAAAGGATATTAGGAAATGAAGGGTTTCAACAGAGTCTTCTTTTCCCTGGCCAGATCAACTTGACTCCAGGCATAGCTG